ACTGGGAAAACTCCTGAAGTGCTCTAGATTCATGGTGCAGAAGCCAGCTCTTGAGAAAGCTTGGGGCTCACCAGAGAAAGGGCTCTATAAAGATGCAACATATGATTGCAACAATCATGGCTATTCTTTATCCTCCCATCCATTTTTTTCCTTCCTGTGCTTGCAATTTCAAAAGATCAAAAGAGCCAGAGGAAGTCCTGTGTATCTTGATTGGTAAATGGCTCTTCAGAAGCCATAGAGGAAGAGCTCCTCACAGGTCCTCTAGCACAATGGAGTCCGAAGGCTGGGTAGTTATTGAAGTCCTGCCACCAGCAAAGGGTGGGTGGTGGAAAGCTTTGAACTTCTAGGGGCAGTAAAGAACCACCCTCTCATCCAAGCTGAGGAAAATTTATGAAAAATAAGAAATTCTTAGGGTTCCAAGTCTACCTTCAGATCTTCAATCCCTGACTGTGTGAGGTTTGATATAAGGAATGAGTCACAAAAGAGAAAGGTCATTATAATAATTATAAATACAACAAAAGCAGTTATCATTTATAGCATGCTTAACATTCAGACATGGTAGTAAATGAGTGTATTGGTCTCTTGGGTAAAATGAGGCATGGAACAGTGAGAGTATGGAATGTGGCAACATTTTGCCCAGGTTGATTCTCAGCTCTGCCCATGCTACCCAAACCTTGGGAAGTAACCTTGCTATACACTTCAGCTTTCCCAACAGTGAAGTGGGGATAATAACAGGGCTTTTCACATGGGTTGTTATGAGGATTAAAAGAGTTAATCCATGTGAAGTTCTGAAGACAGTGGTGGCACAAATAAGACTAAGCATTCAATCTTTTGTCCTTGTGTATATGATATGATTTTTATTAAGGATACACATATTCCTAGGAAATAGAAGGACTTCCAAATAACTCTTTGAGATTTATTTTCACAGGCACTTTAAGCAGCATTACCAAAATGAATCACACCAAAATTAACCCTGTCCAGTGCATTTGGCTTCCCTTCCATCCATTACCAAGGGCATACATGCAGGTGGACAGGTATACTAGCCAGGTAAAGGTAAGGTAAAGCTGCACCTCTAAATCTTTACTAGATGTACACACCAATTTCCTGCCCTCCCCCCCCCCACCCCGGCAAGACAGGGAAAGACACTGGCAGGGAAATGTAGGGGTGGTCTGGGACCTGAACAGAAAGATTCTAAAATGCAAAATGGTCACCAAGTGAGACATCCAAGTGCAAGGGCTTGCCTTCTCCAGATCAAACAACTCTGAAAGGCCAGTAAGAGCCAAACAGCATTCTTTTAGGAAAAAAAGTACGTCTATAGGTAACACCTGGTACACAGTTTCAGTGCTGATGACAATTTAGTCTCAGTAAAAAGCCCCCACCTTTCTTGGCGCCCCCTGGAGTCAGCTGTCTCCACTGCTATCCTCCACAGAACCAGGAACCTCTGCGCCCTGGCAGCTTATGGAGCTGGACCAGATTCCTCCCTCGTTGCCCCTCACCCACAGCAAGTGTATAAAGCACAGCAAACAGGCGATTTGGGGAGCCTGTCTGTGGTGACAAAGTTCATGATAGAGAATAGCCTTGGACTTTGTTTTCTCTCATTGCCCCCAAACACCAACTTCCCCGCCCACCCCCCCAGACCTCTGGGAGCCAGCACCTACTGTGTGTGACCCCAGGAACTCTATGCCCCACTCCCCTAACAAACACACACACACACACACACACTCGCCCACACATACCACTCTTACATAACTGTGTGTGTGTGTGGTTGTTACCTGAAATGCTGCTTAGACCTTATCTTTCGCTTCAAAATATATGATCCCTACAGAAAAGTCACGTGTAAGCTGCGGGCTATTTATATTTTCAGCTAAGTTCATTTGTATCCCCCCCCCATCAGACTAAGCAACTTGAAGGCAAGGACCATAACCCATATTTCCTGTGTCCTAGTCTTCTCTTCAGCATTTCATCCAGATTAGGAGGATGTTTTCAACACACATTCATCTTATTGATTCACACCTTGGTGTGAATATCATTATGAGAATAGGTACCATGGGGAGAAGTAGGTGTGGGGTAAAGGGCATTAGGACCCTGAGGGCAAACACCACTAACTGCACAATGTTGGTAAAAGCCAGACCTGTCACTACTAAAAATGAAAGGGAAGATCCATCAAGCTAAAATGAAAAGGGACACAATCAAGCTGACAGAGGATAGGGAAGATACAAAAAGCAACTACTGGATAGATTTCTTAAAAGTGGAAAAGCCTAAATCTTGGGATAATTAACAATAGCAAGTCTTTTCAAATGTATTTGGACACTTAGTCCTGGAGCACTAAGAATTATCTAGTTGGCTCCTTCTATTTCTAAACACTTCACATAGCAGATTCCTAGAGAGTTGAGCGTCACCCTATGCATACATACCCAGAGACAAAAACTGATTTACACTGTACGTAAATTAGTCACATGGTTTCACCCCTAGTGAAAAATGCCAATTTTCCCCGTGCAAGAACCAATCAAGCAGCCGTGGGAATGTTCTCTAATTCACAAAATAATCGGTCCCACCTGAGTCCTCACACTAGTTTTTGTTTAGTAAGATCTATCTACATAGATACTTATTTCTAACTGAAATAAAGGAAGAGCACTAAAACAATGAATTCATGATTCTCTTAAGTTTACAAGTACTGAGACTAAGTACAAACTCCGCCTTTTCTTTTTTTTGTAAACACAAACCAGAATCACTCCTGCTGCAGGCTCTTATAATTATAGTACCTAGAAAAGCAAAGTTCTACAAAGCCACGGCTCTACAAGGTTCAGCGGCTTGGGTGGTAGCGTCAGGATATTCTATCCCTTTTGAAATCATCCTTATTGGATAGAGGCATTTCAAGGAATGATTAAAAAAATACATACTAATTGAAAATAATGAACCAGGGTTCTGAGTCCTATCAGCACTAATTTTCCTTGGGACTACAGAAGTCATTTTAACCTGTCAGGACCTTATCCAGAGAAAGAAATATTTGACTGGACAGTTCCCAAAATCCTTTATGAAAAAAATCCTAAGTTTCTCATCAGCAACACTAAAAAAACCTGAAGCCACTGTATTCTTTTGAACTTCATGAAAGCTGTATAAATTAAAATTTAAATACCTGAACTCATAATATGATACATTAATTCTGCACCCTACTGCATTTTTTGGCAATAAAACGTAAACTAATATAAAATATTGGAGAAATACAAATTTAAAATATGCTTCAATTGACAAAAACTGTCCAGCAATATTTTTCCTTCAGAGATGGGAAAAATGAACCTTGGTTTTATGTTAGCAGAGGAACAACCAAGCCCAGCTAACATGGGAAGGGAACAATAGTTTGGAAACTTCTGGTCCAGTGTCCAGTTCTCCTCCCATCATGGGCCCCACACTAATATAGGCATTTCTGAAAAGTGCTCAGGCCTGGGTCTGGCTTTGTGACTGGACTTTGATCCCTGATTATCCAGCATCTCATTTACATTCACCTGACCATTCCGAAATCAATCTCCACATTCAAGAACTTCCACACTTAGTTCTTTTAGAATCAGGAACCTGGCTGGTTGAGACCGTCACTCCACCAAAAGCCAAAAGAGCCACTTTGGTACTGTTTAGAAAGCAAACTCTCTATTATTACATTTTAACATCTTCATCGGCATAAGAACATTTTGGAGCCAAATAATCCTACCCACTTCTTGAAGGGCTACTGTTAGAAGGAATATGACACAACTCTGGAGAAGAAATTACTCCTGAACCAAAAGAAACACAAATCTTTCAATAACTGGTGGGTAGCGTTACCAACAGGGAACCCTCAGCGTCACACCACAGCGTTTGTTTGTTTTGGTACCGGGGATCGAACTCGAGACCTTGCGCTTGCGAGGCCGGCGGCCACACCACACTTTTAATACACTGGGTTCACAAATTTTAATGACATCTTGGTCCCTCAAGAAGGTTGCAGCCAAAATAACCCAATGAGAAAAGTAAAGGAGTCTCAAAACGATGAGCCCAATGGGATTTGGACAACTCCTCCTGGTGCTCTGGGTGGAGAGGGACACACTATTTGTTCTACCGTTCCTTGGCACAAAACTCCGGGCAGGTCGCCGCAGAGGGTGGCCACCACTCTGGCGGCGCCGTAACACACGCAGTGGGCTCCTAGAGATTCCACAGGCATTCCCCGCAAAGGTCTCCTACAGCGGCCGCCCTCGCGGTAATTTGGAGACTCATTACCCAACTTTTTTCCCTTTCCCGCGGGCATCCTCCACCTCTCCGCCAGCCCTCTAACCAAGCGGGCACTTCAGCAGGCTGTGTCAAAATCCCCCTTACTCTTAAGTTTGTCCTGACGATTACTATGCATAATAGCACAGGACCTGGCAACAAGGCGCGCGGGAGACGCCGAGACTTCACACATATGTCAAGATTATCAGGCCCCTCCTCCAAGACTGCGACATTCGCCGATCCGCATCGCAGCTGTAAAAATGTACAATAAGTTCCCCAGCTGGCTCTGGAGCCCGAAACGCTCGCCGCTTGCCAAAGGGCAGACTATAACTTTGTTTTCTGATTGTTCGGTCATTACGATTAGCGTTATGTTTGGCTTTACGAACTGCGACGGCACCCTAAAGCTCAAGGAATACAGGCCCTCAGAGCTGCCGCGGCGCCCCGGGGCCACTCGGGCCACCCTCTCGGGGGCCTCCTCCACGCCCTGACCTCAGGACCCGGGGCGCGACAGAGGGGTGACGCTCAGGTCCCTCCTCCTAGCGATCTCCGAGCGCTGCGCTCGGGCGCCGGGCCAGGACGGGTGCGATTCGCCTGGGTTATCAAATCCTTATCGCTGCCCCGAGGTGGGAGCCGCGCTTTCGACCCGAGGATACGCCGTTTCTGGCTTCCGTCCCGCAGTGGCGCTCGGAACAGGAGCAAGTCAGCTCCGACACCGAGCCCCGGGGCCAGGCAGTCCCTCCCCTCGTGCCTCGATCCTCGCAACTCCTCACCGATTCCCCGCTGCTGTGCTCCCGCGGGTGGAGACAGGAGGATCCAGAGGCCAAGCGAGAGCCACACACGCGGAGAGGGCCGGGCCCTCGCAAGGGCAGCTGGGTTGACCGAGGCGCCTCTCACCCAGTGCCGCACGGCTCTCAGGGCAGGCAGGCAAATCGTGGCTGTCCTTCTCTGTCCTCTTAGGAGTCAGTCGCCTGGGGACGCCCCTGTCACCATGCCCGCCCTGCATACCAAGACACCTGACCCCGCAGGGCAACCCAGGTCACTACCCGCTCTACCGCGCATCCAGGCGCGGGGAGGGGGTGGTGCCTGGCAGGGGAGACCTCCGCGGAGTCCCCGCTGCTCGGCGGGGGCTCGTTCCTGCGAGGAGGGCACCCCTTCCGCCCCAAGCCACTTAGGGGCGCAGCGCGGGCAAGTGAGGGCATTTGGACAGACCCCTGGGGGGGGGTCCTGGAGGAAAACAGAGGTGTAGGCGCGGCTCTAGCAGGTGAGACCCGATTGAGTCGAGGTCATCAAACCAGAAACACTCCAATTTTCTGGACGCTGCAGTTTGTTGCCCCAAGACCAGAGCGTTTGGAACACCCCGACCTCCAGGGTCATCTCCTTCCGCCTCGCCAAATCCGGCACCTGCTTTCTGCCCCGCTTCCTCCGGGTCACCTGCCAGGACCCAGGACCTCTGCGCGCCTCTCCGGGCCACTCGCGGTCGCGCCAGTCCCGTGCAGTTCGGCCATTGCCTCGGACCACCGTCCTTACCTCTTCTTCTCCTTGTCAGCTGTCATTGTCGCCGTGGCCCTTGGAGACGCTGAGCACCTGGACTCACTGGTCAGTAGGGGCGGCAGCCTCGTCTTCGCCGGCTCCCAAGGTTCGCGCGGGCACGAGCGCCCGGCACTGTCAGGTGAAGTTTGCGGGCGCCGGGCCGCCTAGGTGCGGGGTAAGGGGGTGGAGAAAGGTGACGGGGAGGAACCTGCACCTGGAGGCGGGGTCGGAGAAAGGAGTGGGAGGAGATTGTCGGACACGAAAAGGGAGCTTCGAGAAGGGAAGTAAAGTTCCTTTTGTTTCCCCGAACTGGAGTCAATTTTCTGGGTTTTCAAAAAAGTGAAAAACAAAATAAAAATGTCTCTAAGGATCGGAGCCGGCAGGAATCGGTCCGGGCGGGTGCGACGGCTGAGATGACCATACAGTCTCAGGACACTGCCGAGGATTGTACGGTCCCCCTTGGAGAGCTGCGGCGGGAGGTCTGCGAGCGCAGAGACAGGGCCGCGAGCCGCTCCCGAATGTGCGGCTCGCGCAGCTGCCAGCGCACTTTAAAAACTCCAGTGACCCGCACGGGGAGGCGCCAGGGGAGGGCGCGCTGGGCGCAGGGGGCGGGAGCGCACTGGGCGCTGGGGGCGGGGAGGGAGCCCGGCAGGCCCCGCCCCGCCGGCCCCACGCGCCCCGGCTTCTCACTTGGTCCCGCCCAATGGGGAGGTGCGGCCGCAGCCTGAGCCCTGACCCCGGCCCGCCCTCTGCCCCGCGATCGGGCAGCCCCTGCGCCTGGCCTCCGCCTTCTACAGATATGCGGGTTATTTCTGAGGACCACGAGGTGGTGGGTGAACGGTGAACGGGTGGGATTCTGCGCCGGGCAGCACACCTGGCACGGGCTGAGCGGCGGCGGAGAGCCGGCCCTCAGGAGCGCACAGTGCTGCTGTCCTCCCGCCCGCGCACGCCCTTGGGAAGCGGGCTGGGCCGCGGGCACGGAGACTGCCCCGCGCAGCTAGGCCTCGAAGAGCCCCTCCGTCCTCGTCCTACTGCGTGACCCCTTGGGTCGGGCGGGGATAACTCGGAGGAAGTCGATGGCCGCATCTGAGCTGGGCCACGCGCTCGTTGCGGTGGAATGCTGCTAACCTTGCGGTCTGAGAGAGGAGGTGGGGAATTGGGTCTGAAAAGCGGTGCAAGGAAACTGAGCTAGGGCCGCGCCTGCCATTCCCTCCCCTCATCCGTTTCACGTTCTGTTTGTCGAGCTGTGCTGGGAAGTTTGGTTGTGGTGAAGATGCGGGGAGGAGGGTCTTGCAGCGGTCCAGCCTTCCTCCCTCTTACCCTGCTTAACACCCCTCCGCGTCGGGCCGGACGAGTTCAGAATTGGAGAAGTACGACTGCTTCCCAGTGTGATCGTGGGGTGAGAGTTGGCACCAAGTGCTCACTGGATCTCAGCCTGCCCTCTCGGTCTCCAGGGTTCCATGGAAATCCTAGGAGCCTGAGGACTACAAGTCCTGGGAGATCTAAGAGCTCTTCCAAGTGGTTAGAGCCCAGGGCTTTTTCATTGGTGTATGTTTTCAATACATAACGATTACATTCACCGTGGGGAGCTGGTACCTGTATATAACCTGTGCTGCAGGCGTCTCCTTCGCGCTTAGGTGCTCTCCCAGGACCCAACGGTGATCCAGCAAGGAAAGAACGGGGGAGGCTCTTAATTTCTGAAATTTGAGGAAAGGCCCATAGGCTTCACAGGTGTGAGTTGAAGCGAAAACAAGGGATCAAGAATTGGTCTGCTCTGGGACCTGAAAACTCCATGCACCTCTCCCTTCAACCTCACCAGTTTATATTAGAATCATATACAGAAACGATTTTAGGGGGAAAGGCATGGTTTGTTTCAGCATTATAATACAAAATAAACACACATTTCCTGCTCTTATACACAGGAAAAGGGGTGGAGATATTTTCAGGAGCCTTCAAAAGGCATCAGAAAGTAGAATGGGGAGGGGGAACCCACAGAAAATGGGGAAAACACTTTTTCTCATTTTCCTAGAGCCGCTGTAGAAATCCAGTGGTATGCTCCACAGTGATTGCAAAGACTGCACATTTCTCTCTAGGAAGCTGGAGGGTGATTTCCTGAGGCGCTTCGCTAGCCAGCTGATCTTAGTGGACACATGTATCTATCTTAATGAGAGATTCAAATTGGTAGATGCAGTTCTAATCCACTATAAATTTATTTCACTTGGGCCTGGAGTGGTGGAAACAACAAAAACAAACCCAGGCACCTTGGCGGTTTTTAAGCGCCCAAAGTCATTCTGCATTTGAGCCTGTGAGCCCTGTAGTATGTCAACAAGTCACAAAGCAATAGCCCCCACACAAAGCAACATCCCCCAACCCTCAGCCATTGGGGGCGGGGGTTATGAAATGAGCTTTGAAGATTTTTTTTTTTTAAGAGAAAGGTAGGGGCTGGGTGTGTGGCTAACATACACAAGGCCCCAGCACCTATTCCCAGCACTACAAAAGAGGGGAAGGATCACTTAAAAGTACATCAACCATATTAATATAATTCCTTCCCCATGGCCAGCCTGCCTCTTTGTAATTGGAATTTTGCCCTATAAGTGAAAGGTCCCCAAGCTAAGATAAACAACTGGACAGATTTTGTGGAAATCCCAGGGAATAGCTTTGAAGAGTCTGGGATTTTGGCAATGTCTGAGAGATTCACCAAAAGCCCTACATAATTCCCCAAAGGATTGGGCCCAGCCTTGCTTAGAGCAGAGCTGTGACCCGATGATCTCTTAACATTTCTTCCAGGATTCAGCTCAGCAACCTTTGTACGAAGGAGCTGAGAATGTAAACCAGATGCAAGCTGATTTTAGTTTTGGGGGTCCATGGGGAAAATCTTTGAAAGGTGATGGGGGAGCTGGGTCCCCAGATTTAGTGGAGTGTCTCTAGAGACATTGATGGGGCCACAGAGGGCAGCAGAGAGCACCCATAAACAAAGCTCCCAAGCTGCCTAAAAGCAGAGTGAGTTGCCCATTTCCTAGCAAATTTCTCCACCTATTTCCTAAATTCCCCCTGTACTTCTTGGGGACAACGGCTGTGGCACTGAGAAGAGGGTCTCTAGCTCGCTCTCTTTTTTGTAAAAGGTTGAACTAGAGATGAGGAGTTAACTTACAAATTTGGTAAAGACCAGGCACCTGAGATACTGAAGTCAGGTGGAAGCAAGATGGCCTCAGTAGTCTTAGCAAAGTAACAGACAGTGTGATCCAGAATGCAGTTGGAAATCAGACTGGAATGTGAAGGATTTTAGCAGAAGAGATCTTGGGAGGCTGGACTATTTCCTTAGTACTTGACAACTTCCAATGCATTGTCAAATGGGACCAGGAAGAGGCAAGAGAAGCCACAAGGGTTTGACAATGAAGGAAGCTGAACTTGGTCTGACCATTAAGGTTTTGGGGTGGGGAAGGCATAAGAGGTAGGCATAGAGATGAGAGGAAGGACCGTCTGGCAGAGGCTATGAGTTTCTCCAGTGAAAGCTTTATTGAGTCACCCCTTTCCTCACACTTGTATGCTACTCCAAATAAAACCAACCCCTTTTGTGACTTTACAAAATCTGTCCTCACAATCCCTGTCCCTGAACTCCAAGAGCAGAACCATATTCCTGTGCTTGGGTTCAGGCCAATGTTGTGAGATCGTTTCATAGACATATGCTATGTCTATTGTTTTTTGTTTTTTGGGTTTTTTTGGTACCGGGGATCAAACTCGGGTCCTTGCGCTTGCGCAGCAGGTGGCGAAACCATCTATGTCTATTGTTAACCATGTGACTTTAGGCCCCACAAATCCAGAATTTGTCACCCTTCAAAAGGAGTTCTCTGATTTTTATTGAGGAAAGGGTCAACCTTTTTTTTTTTTTTTTAAACTAAAATGCCTAAGTGCTCACTGGTAAGCATCCAGTTATAACTAACCTCAGCCTCTCCACCTCTTTCACCTAGATTACCAATGACTTAGAGACTATCATCTTCCATTGCTACGTGTAGGGCTGAGGTTTTTCTAGGGTAAAGTCATGAATTTATCTCCCTGTCATTCAGCTAATAATGAAGGAGTCATTGGTCTATGACCATGGTGCTCTGTTGCATTGAGGCAAACAAGGCATCAGTCTCAGGAAATAGAGCAACAGAGTTCCCTTCCTGCCAGGAAACAGTACAGTTGAGTGCACTCTACATTTCCCAAATGATGAATACAAATTTACTCACTATTAAGCCTTCTGAAATCACAGGCATCTTTTAAATGGTAATGATTTCTTTTGCCCCCTGCCACCATGGGATCTAAACAAAAGACATGGGAAGAATTTGGTGGCAGTGAGAAGAGGAAGTAGAGAGTGAGTGAACAAGCAGAAAAATCTGATGTCCCAGCCATGCCTACCTCTAGGATACAAAGAGGCCTCGCCTGGACTGGCCAGGCAGCCAGCTAATGGGTGTGATCTCTGAAGTGATAGAATAACACCCATGTGAG